TCCTGATGATCAAGTTGGCTTTATCCAAGAGATGCAGGGATGGTTCACTATACGTAAGTCAATAAACATCATAAATCATATAAATGGGCTCAAAGACAAGAACCACATGGTCATCTCAATAGATGCAGAGAAGGCCTTTGACAAAATTCAACATGCATTTATGTTCAAAGTCCTAGAGAGAATTGGACTGGAGGGAACATACCTCAACACAATTAAAGCCATACATAACAAACCCACAGCCAACCTCATTCTAAATGGAGAAAAACTGGAAGCATTCCCATTGAAGTCAGGAACCAGACAAAGCTGTCCAATATCTCCACTTCTCTTTTCCATAGTGCTTGAAACTCTTGCTAGAGCAATAAGACAAGAGCAGAAAATTAAAGGAGTGATAATTGGAAGAGATCAAATTATTCCTTTTTGCAGATGATATGATATTATACCTAAAAGACACCACAAAATCCACCAGAAAACTCCTAGAAATTATTAACACGTTCAGTAAAGTAGCAGGTTACAAAATTAACCTACAAAAGTCTGTAGTCTTTGATATACCAATATCAAGCAATCAGAGAAAGAGCATATGGAAACACTCCCCTTCACAAAAGCTGCAAAAAAAAAAAAAAAAACATCTTGGAATAAACCTGACCAAAGACATTAAAGACCTTTACAATAAAAATGTTAAATCTTTAAAGAAATATTGAGGAAGACATCAGAAGATGGAAGGACCTCCCATGATCATGGATTGGAAGAATTAATATTGTGAAAATGACCATCCTAGCAAAAGCCATTTATAGATTCAATGCAATGGCAATCAAAATCTCCATGATATTTTTCACAGAATTGGAAAAAAACATCCTAAGATTTATATGGAAGCACAAAAGACCTTGGGTAGCCAAAGCAATGCTGAGCACTAAGAGCAATGCCGGGGGGATTACTATACCAGATTTTAAGCTGTATTACAGACCTACAGTCATAAAAACAACATGGTACTGGCACAAAAATAAGCCCATGGATCAATGGAACAAAATTGAAGACCCAAATATGAGCAAATGCAGTTTCAGCCACCTGATATTAACAAAGGGGCCAAGAATATTCACTGTAGAAAAGACAGTATGTTCAGCAAATGGTGCTGGCAAAACTGGATCTCCACCTGTAGAAGAATGAAACTAAACCCCTATTTTTCACCTTACGCAAAACTCAACTCCAAATGGATCAAAGATCTCAATGTAAAGCCTGAAATTCTGGAACTGTTAGAAGAAAACATTGTAAAAAACCTACATGACATAGGTGTAGGAAAGGACTTTCTAAACCGGACATCAAGTGCTCAGGAAACAGGGGCAGGAATTAACAAATGGGGCCTCTTTAAACTAAAAAGCTTCAGTATGTCAAAGGAGGCAACCAGGGAAACAAACAGAAAACCCACAGAATGGGAGAAAATCTTCATCAGAAACACATCAGACAGAGGTTTAATATCCAAAATATATAACAAACTCAAAAAACAGAGAATCAAGACAAGAAGTAACCCGATTAAAAGATGGGCTAAGGAGCTGAATGGAGAGTTCTCAAAAGAAGTAGTAAAGATGGCTATGAAGCATTTTAAAAGATGTTCAACATCACTAATAATTAGGGAAATGCAAATTAAAACCACTTTAAGATTTCATCTTACCCCAGTCAGAGTGGCTAAAATCAAGAGAACAAATGATACCAAAAGTTGGAGAGGATGTGGGGAAAGGGGAACACTCATCCACTGCTGGTGGGGCTGCAAACTGGTTCAACCCCTATGGAAAGCAGTGTGGAGAACTCTTAAAAACTACAAATGAACCTACCATTTGACCCAGTTATACCACTCCTTGGCATATACCTATACCCAAAGAACTCATCCTATTGCAGAGACTCTTGTACATCCAGGTTTGTTGCTGCTCTTTTCACAATAGCTAGAGATGGAAGGAACCTAAGTGTGCCTCAATTGACGAGTGGATAATGAAAATGTGGTTCATTTACATGATGGACTTTTACTCAGCAGTAAAGGAAGATGAAGTCATGAAATTTGCAGGTAAATGGATGGAACTAGAAACTGTTATACTAAGTGAAGTAACACAGACTTAGAAAAGAAAAAAACGACTCAGAAAAACAAATCCTCATATGTGGATCCTAGAACCAAATCCTGATAAGTATGTATCCAGACATAAGTACAGGAACCTGGATAATGGAAAGGAACCAGGGAGGTAAAGGAAAAGAAAGAACCTGAAAGAGAAGAACAGTAGGAAACAGGGGTTAATAAGGGAGATATGGATAAAAATTGGGTTAGTTTAGGGAAGAGGGGAGGGAAGGGTGTACAAGGAACCTGGGGGATAAAGGGAAAGAAGGAGCTCAAGAGAGGTAGGACCACAGGAGAAGGGTATTATTAAGGGAGAGAGGGGGGAAATTGGGGCACCTTAAGTGGGGAAACATGATGGAGGGGTTAAACAATGTGAGAGATAATTAATGCATAGCTAGTTTTAAAAACCAGAGGGAACCATATTAGTCCAACAATCTACTGACAAATTATACATACCAGATCAAGAAATATATGTCTAGGCAAGGTTTACCTAAGAACAATGGTTCTTTGCCCAAGATTTATCTACATGGCACACACTAATTAAAAGTACCAGACCAGTGGAACTAACCTTCTTGGATGTTTAACAGACATACTTTGAGGCCTACACTAATTTGGTCAGAGGGATATAAAGGACAGTGTTTGCTCCTTGCCTCCTAGGTTGACTAGTTCCAGGGGACTATAAGCATCTCTCAAAATGTCCTGTAATTGTGGTGGTTCACTGTCATCTTGATCAAGGAGGCAGGGAGACCCCATGAAATGGACTTGAACCAGTGTCCAGTCTATGAAGAGGAGGGTCAACACAGAGGAAACATTTCCTCCATGCTTCCAAGTGAAGCCAGCCATGATCAAGCAGGACCTTTGACTTATCTTCACATAGGCAGAACTGGTAAAGGAAAAGAGCCAGAGGCTCCTCCCAAGCCAATGTGACCCCTGAGGAACAGATCCTCAAACGACCTTAAGAGTAACAGTAAATTGGTTTATCTGGGCCAACTGTATGGCCTTAAACACCCAACAGGAAAGTATAACCAAAGATTAAAGGGGCCAATGTAATTTTTAGGAGTCCATATGTATAGGTAAATGTTACATAACAAGCAACAATGCCATATAGCAGATACCTTCTTTTGAGTTAGGTATTTCTAAGCTGAACAGGGATGATCGCATTCATCTACACTCTCACCTGCTTCTATTATCCCCCACGTTACCATTGCTGCCCTATTGATTGACAAGGGCTTCTTGTTTCCCAACATAAGATAATGAATGGGAATCAAAGCTACCAGCAGTATCATTTTATGCTGAAGGGTACTTCAAGGAAGGTCCATTTTCCATGTTTTATCTCATGAGATTGTCCAAGTGTCTGATTCCCTACAGGGCATAGGGACTCAACATAAATAGAATCCAGTGGGTCAAATCTACTTTTCCCTTTAAAAATGAGCAAAAATTTACATCATGTTAATTAGTAGAGGTGATAAACATTACCATTGCAATCTACCTGATGACTTTATAGACATACATAGTTGCCAAGAATCCGAGTGCAACCAATTATGACTAGTAATAATCAGATACATCTAGATTAGAGACGCATGCACCAACATCTCAGTGTCATTAGAAAAATAATGAGTCTTTCTGTAAGAAACAGTATATTTTAAAATGAAATGGAGATCTTTGTTAAAGGTTAAAAACTCATTCAATTTTATGTCTTACAGGGCTTAAACTGAGTTCAGTATTGTATAACTGTATTAATTCAAGAGCAAACCTGAAAATTTTATAGCCACTTTTGAAAGAGCGGTATCTTTGCCCTCGAAACTGTTATTGAGCATAGTAAAGCTGTAATGATATGGTTCTTCTAAAAAAAAATATTAAAAAAATGTAGAAAACAGCATATTTAAAATGAAATGGAGATATTCTTTAAAGGGTAAATACTCATTCAGTTTTATATCTTACAGGATTTATACTGAGTTCAATATTGTATGACTGTATTAATTCAACTGTGAATCTAAACATTTACAGCCACTTTTGAAAGAGATGCATCCTTGCTCTGGAGTGTATTACTAAATATGTTAAAGCTGTAATGAAATGCTTCTTCTAATCATGTGGTTATTAAATTTAAAAAAATATTTAAAAAATAATAATTCTTCAAAACATAAAAATTTCCTCCTTAATAATTAGTACATGTGAAAAACAATACCATTAAATCTATCTGATGACTTTATATCCATGCTCAGATGTCAAGAAGCTCAGAACGTAACCAACTGTGACTAGTAATAATCAGATATATAGAGATTAGAAAACCATGTGAAAACATCTTAGTGTTAATTGCATTAAAAATGATTTTTTCTGTATGAAACTGTATTTTAGTAATGAAATGGAGATCTTTTTTAAAAGGTTAAAACCTCATTTAATTTTATGTCTTATAGGGTTTATACTGAGTACAATATTGTATAACTGTAATAATTCAACTGTAAACCTAAAAATTTACAGCCAGTTTTGAAAGAGATGCATCTTAGCTCTGGAAATTTTTAGTGAATATGTCAATGCTGTTGTAATGAAGTGCTTCTTCTAATTATGTGGTTATTAAATAAATAATTAAAAAAATAGAAGCATCAATCCAATGTAACTTAATAGAAACATCAATCCAACATAACATAATTACTTCACTGACTTTGATGTCATTTTTTGAAGTAGAAATTGTTGGATCTTTCTTTACAGACTTAATTCTTTTTTACTGACTTTGATTAAAAATCTGTGCCATATTTTTTCTCTTCCCATGTGCAAAAAGAAAAAAGTTCTTTTATTTTCCTTGAGAAATTCTTTTAAGGATTGGATCAATAAGCACAAAAATAAGGTCATCTACCCCACAACTGAATAATTCTAAACAACAATGTGAGCAACCACACATGCCGTTTACCTGCATTTCCTGACAGAAGGAAGCCGAAGGCCCAAAGAGAATCTGGCACTGCTCATCGGCGGTGTATGTCATCCCTAGAAGCTTGGAGGGCACCATCACAGAACTGAGACTCTGGGGATTTGTCTGCAGTAAGCAGCTACTGGCCTTTGACCTGTGAACAAGCAGACATGTGTAAAAAATTGAATTTAATAAAAAAAGTTGCTACGATTATTTAGTTGAAAAAAAGTTTTACAATAAAATTCAACTTTTAGCTGCTCTCCCATTGAATACAGAGAGATGATTCTGTGTATAAAGATATTTTATTTATAATTATTTAAGATAATCCTTACAATAATAGCAAAACTGCTCAAGATAAAAGAATATTTTGGTCATCCACTTCCTCCTGGCTCTTACACTCTTTCTGCCCCCCTCTTCTGCAGTGGTCCCTGAGCCTTGGCTGGGTGAGGTTTAATATAGGAGTCCGGCCCAAGGATCAGCATTCAGGAGACTCTTGATCTCTACACTCTGGCTATTTGTGACCTTTTCTGTTCTTGGCCCTTTGCTACATGAGGGAGCTTCATTGATAAGAACTGAGAGATTCATTAGTGTCCTCTTCTTTACCCCGTTCTATATTCCATGAGCCTTAGGTATAGAGGCTGCATTGTAGACATGTCACTTAGGCCTGGAGTTCCTGGGAATCTATTTATATGATTCTATGGCAGTGGTATCAGCATATACAAGTCCCATGCACACTCAGGCAGACAAAAACACAGCAGAGAACTGGGAAAATGAACAGCTGAAGAAATATTGGCAAGTGACTGCTGCTAGGTGAAGAAGAGCTGGGACTCTAGCTAGGCTAAAACAAGGGACTCTAGATAGGCTGACCAAACCTCAGTGGATGGACTTGCACAGGGAAACATCTGGAGATACTGACTTGACACAGTGGGCCATAAAAGGGATGACAAAGTATATGTGTTCCAGTGGGAGGCTATGGGAGGGTGTCAGTAGGGATGGGGGTATAAAGACAATTATGATTGTTTGAGATATTCTGTATGAAATATGCAAAAACTCAATAAAAACAAATTTTAAATAAATGAATGTTTGGGTTGCAAAGACTGTTAATCAATTCAGCTAGTTTATATAATATTGCGATATAATAGTATTTTATGCATTTATAAGACGTAGAAGCTCAGATTCAGAGAGTAACTTGCCCAAAAGCATTGTGTAAAGTTAATATATGTACTTAGGGATTTAAAGAATCCATTTTCTATGAGTCTCAGTAGTCTAGATATTTTGTACTTGATATTGTAATTCTCCTTCCAGTTATGATGTAACATTTAATTTGATCACAGTTCTCATTCATATGAAGACAGCCATAAAAGTGAATATGCTCCTTAGGGTCCACTGAAGTGCTACTGATGCAGCTGCTTCTGATGGGTTCAAGTTGTTAATACTATGAATGATACACACTGGGCTATTGTGACGAAGAGCAGTTCTAGGTTGTGCTGCATGTATTTCGGATGGAATTATAGTCAAGCAATAAACATATGTCTTTTTAAAAACATACTTCATTATCTTTATTTTACATGAATGAGTGTATTGCCTGCCTGTAAGTAAGTGCACCTGTATTGTGCAATGTCCATGGAGTTCATAAGAGAGTGTCAGATTCCCCTGGAACTGGAGTTATAGACGGTTGTTAGCTGCCATGTGGGTACTGGGAATTGAACCCGGGTCCTTTGCAAGAGGAGATAGTACTCTTAATTGCTATGCCATCTCTCCAGCCCTAAATATATGTTTTTTAAATGGCATTTTTTTACTCTTTAAAAGTTTCACACATTTATACAATGTATGTTGATCATAATCACCAACCACTACCTCCTTCCAATCCCCCTACTGCCCCTCTGGGAAGTGGTTAATGTGAAGACTCAGTACTGTTCAAATGCTGTGTATAGATAACTCTGACTGCCCAGCTATTGATGGGTCATCTATAATAACCTCCCACCAGCCAAGCCTCAGGAAAATTCACTGAAGAAGAGTAAGAACAATGTAAGAGTCCTTTGGATCATAGGTGGCTAGAATTGCTTATTAGTGAAAAAATACAGCTTCGAGGCTTCATAAAGGAAAAATGGAGATTCATTGAAAAGGCAATTAAATACAGTGACAGGTCTGTATTATTATAGCAATTTTCTACACCATGCCCACTCTTTCTTCTGAGAAATACAGAAAGTACAAAGTAGATGAGTCAAATCATATGTCCCAATGCAACAATAATTAGTCACCTCCATACCTAAGAAATCTCTCTAAGTCTTCCTTGCTGCACCTGGACCACGAAACATCACCTAGATTTTGTCCTTTGATCCATTCACCAGACATGATGTGAAGGCCATCGGCACATGATGGGTGATCATTGTCGTGATTGATGCCCATGCTGTATAATCAAAACAAAATGATTATATTAAATCAATGATATTTTAAAAGCTTTCATTACTGCAGGGTGATACCTATTAAAGTACTTAATAGGAAAGACATCTGTTGTGATGAATTCAGTTTAAAAATAAAATTGGGTTTTAAGTTAATGTTTTCTTTTAATTTTATTATCTAGATTTAAAATAAATAATGTAATTTGATTAGGAATGTTTGCCCACATCAATCTACAAGATATTTGCTAAAGTCCCTCATATGAAACTGATCTGAAGACATATTTCCATAGTATTTATATGAAAGACAGAATTACTAAATTTTCATTCAGCCTAACTGGATTCTTGCCTTTGCCCAAATCAATTTCTTCTTCCAAAAATCTGAAGCACCTCTTAGCCAATCTGAAGCCATATTAAACTAGGTAAACTTATGTCTTCTTCATCTATGTCATAACGCCCTCTCATCCCATCCAACCCAAATAACAAACTGTCTCATGACAATGATCTTGGCTGCCTTTATCATTTCTACGGAATCATAAAGCTATTGTTTTAGACAGAAACACTATTCTGAAAACTCGACTTACCTCTAAATAGATATTCTAGAACCAACTTAAACAGACTATAACTGAAGGTTGCGTCTTCAGTACTGCTATTTGGTTCTGTATTCCTTTTTCTTTCTGCTGCATTTTTATGCTTTTCCTAGCCACTGTCATCCAAATAATCCTCAAGGCATCATTTGTTCCTTCTCCTCCCAAACGATTACTGAGGCGATTTCATTGACTTGTGTTTGGAGCAAGTCCTGGAGATGCAACTTTCTAAGTATTTCTCTAACTGTCACTGCCCATTCCTTCTGCTACTGAAGGAGGGTGACAAAGTGTTCTTGTTAGACAGCGTTGTCAGGTATTATGGCACTTCTCCTGGGCCTTATGAGACAAATCCTTCCTGACAAGTCTCCCTTCCCTTCCTCCTACTCTGCCCCTGTGAGATTAACCTACAATAAAGCCTGAATGTTGTATTTCTCTGCCTTCTTACCGCCATTATGGCCATTTCCAGCTCCCTGATAGGGTTACCTTGCCCATCCATCTTCTTCCATGGTTTTTATTGCATTTTCTCTAGCCATACCAAATGACCTGTAATTTCTCAACTTTATTTCTTAAATTCTTCCAATTCTCTATTATTTATAATTTCTTATGAATAATATACAATTTTAATGCAATGATTCTAAAGTACACAACAGCTGCACATGTCAACTGAAGCTTACTATCACTTATTTAGAGAGTTATATATAACAATCTCACAAGGAGCAAACTTAAATATGAAACAGGACAGGCATGGCAGGATACAATTGTAACCCCAGCACTTGGGAGGCTGAAAGAGGAGGATTTCTGAAGGTCAAAACTAGCCTTGTCCTTACCTGACACTGATCTGTTGACATATTTTCTATAGTATTTATACAAAGCACAGAAACAGCAAATTTTTATTCAGTCTTTTTGAATTTTTGCCTTTTCATGAGTCAGTTTCTTCTTCCCAAATCTGAAGCACCTCTTAGCCAGTCTGAAACTGTATTAACTATGTTAACTTCCTACAACTTCTTCCTTGTCTACTTTATAAGGCCGTCTCCTCCTACCCACCTCAAATAACAGAAACTGTCTTGTGGAACCTTTCCTGATCACCTTTATCTCTTCTACTGAATGATAAATCATATATTGAATTAAGTGGGACTTCTGAGTGTGTTTCAATCCACCTAGGGCACCTTATGGGGACTCAGTCTCAAACTAAGTAAATGAACCAACACCAACACCAAAAACAACAACAAAGGAAAATCGAAGACAAACAATGCCATCAATAACTAATGTGTTCCATAGCATAGGTCTTACCCTTAGAACATGGGATTGGGAGGTTTCCAGAGTGAAATATTTCTTTAAAAAACTAACAGTAAACATAAATATTACTGACTAAATGAACACGGTGCTTTATAACTTTGTAAATAATCATATGTTTTTGGAGCAATTACATATTTAGTTAATGAAAAGTTAACTTCCCTAAAATTGCAAAGGAAAAATGAACTTAGTAGCAGGTTCATGAATTAGTGATCAACAGGTCATGCTGGGTATTGTGTATTCCACAACCTCTCCCTCACCTTCCCTGCAGTGCCTATCCTTCAGCATTTCTGCCTGGACAAATTCTACTTAATCCTTAATAATAATGCAGATTATTTCTAAAAGAATTTAACTAGCCCTACCTCATCTATTTCCAGATTGTCTTTTTCTACCATAGGCTTCTGTGAAGATTAAATGCTATAGTGATTTCTACATTGTATTATGCATTTTAAATTGTGGTTAATTCGCCAAGTTTTTGAGATCAGGATCCTCTCTGAAACTCTACACATGTAGCATATAATATTCCCATTCTACATAGCCCATGCTGAAAGGCATGTCACCATGCCAAATCACTCTTTCATGGCAAAATTCATAAGACCAAATTAATTCCAAATGGAGGATTTTAACATAATTACTCAGTAATACAGGTTAAAGATTCAGAGAGATCAAGGTGACTTTTTGTGTTTATTTGGTGAAAGTGCAGGCTTAAGAATAATTAAGAAAATAATCATGGCAAGAAACACTCTGCTTAGCTATTTTTAAAAATATTTTATTTAGCTCTGCTTCCCTGGGCCTGCATGACCCGCAGGCCTCTCTCCGACCCACAGGCCTCTCTCCAGGGTAAGTTGATCACGCCCTCTGTACTTTGAATCCCCCATCTTCATTCACCCTCCCATCTCCCCTGCTGGTCTATCCTCCTAGGCTGGGTCCTGTCCCATTCATTGTCTTGGCACCCCAGACAACAGGGAAACACCACTGCTTCCTGATCCTTTGCATTCAGACCAACCCAGTTCCTTCTCCGGTCTCCAGGAGCCCTCTGGGCCTGGCCATGCCCTCACCTCCCTCTGCTTCCCTGAGACTGCAAGACCTGCGAGCCTCTTTCCTGGACACAGGGCTTACCTTTTCTCTTCTTGATCTTTTGCATCCAGACCAACCCAGCTCCTAAGTGCAGTCCCCAGGAGCACTTGGGGCTGCTTCCTACCCCCATCTTCCTTTGCATCTCTGATGGCATGGCCACCAGCTGCCTTAGAGCAGTATCTTTCCTGGGCATGGCTCCAAGGCAAGTCCAACCCCCATATTTCTGAGGCCAAAATCTTTCCTGGAGGAATCCGGACCTTAGGAGAAAGCCTGAGAGCATCTGATCCTCATCTGACTTGGCCCTCTGTGGGAACTCCTGAAGACAAAAGCAATCTGGCTACTTCAATAGAAAATCAAAAGAGAGAACCTGAAGCTTAGACGAACCAGATTTTCATGCCCAAAAAGTAAGCCACAAAGACACATAAAGTTTTAAAAAAGAAGCAGACCTAAATGTGAAGGCTTGAGTCTCACACAAGAATCAGAAAATACAAAAGAAATTCACATGTCAAAATCACAGAGAAAAAATAACAACATGAAAAAACAAAATAACATATCCCCACCACATACCAATAGTCCTCTAGAGGAGTACAATAAGAACCCCCTAGAGATAATGCAGGTCATCGAACTCAAAAGAACAATTATAGCTGGGGGTGGTGATGCAGGCCTTTATTCCCAGCACTAGGGTGGCAGAGGCAACTGGATCTCTGTGAGTATAAGGCCAGCCTGGACTACGTAGTGAGTTCCAGGCCAGCTGGGATATAGGGAGACGCTGTCTCAAAAACACCAAAATAACTAACTAACTAAATAAATAAATAAATAAAAATAACAATTATAAACATGATAAAGGAATTCAGTAAATTTAAAGAACACACAAAGAAATCAAAGAACTGAAGGAAGATAGGGGTAAACTTCTGAATGAATTCAGAAAAGAGTTAGAAATATTGAAGAATACTCAGGCTGAAATAAAGAACG